AGGGCCCTGTAAATAAAAAAAAAACATGGTACGTATTCAACAAGGAAACAGAAGGCTGAATAAATATACGGTAATGGAACAAAAAAATTTAGTAACACTAAACAGTTGTAATAAAAAAGATGTACACAATACAGTATAGAGTTACCTGATACTTGATTAAATTTAAATACTTTTAACAAAATGTTCTCCTACATTCTGGACCAACATACATACTCATTAAAATGCCTCTTGAAATCAAAATAACAATCGCATAAACTATAAAATTTCATCAGATACCATCTGAGATTAGGTACAACATACACATTACAACACTTAAAAACTCGACCTGCACCGTAGCATGACATTGAACCCTCTAGTCTATGGAGATCCCAAAAGTTAGATAAAACTGCTCCACAACTTAGCATACAAAGAGCACACATATATGCACCCACGGAGGTGATTTAAGTCTTGCGACCTATGTTGGTAAAGCATACACCCCATCGCGACAAAAGAAACATGGAAGAGGACCAGAGTGTCTCAATGACAACAATAGGGTTACCCACCTTGCCATAAACCACCACCACCCATGCGAAACACCTAAACTTTTTATGATTTTCAGCTTCTATGACATAGAGAGAAGCAAAAGATTGCAAAGATGCGGATGCAATCAAGTGAATGTGCTTATAAGGCATCAATACTGATCCAACAATCCTTCCTCCTAGAAACAGATTCAACTACCATCCCCTATCGAGAAATTAATGAAACTATGGATAAAAGATAGATACACTCGTAAGAAAATAGCTTTCAACAGGTTCCTATAGATTAGCAGATAAAATAGCAATATCATCTCACTCATTTGGTGAATCCTATATTATGCTAGTCCGAAACCTTTCACTTAATGCTCATAAGGAAAACAACATAACTGCTGAGAAAGCAGATCAATATTCTACAACTCCATGTTTACATCTGAAGGGTCTGGAAGCGTCATAAAGTGCAGCTCAATTGGTCATCCATTGCTATATTAAGTGTAACAAAGAAGCGAGCAAGGCTATCCATAAGGAATATCCAATATTGAGTTTTGACATCAGCAACAAAATTACAGTCACCAAGACAAGTTTGAAGCATTCTGAACTTGCCTACAAAGAATCTTTAACTAATAGAAATAGAATAGTCTTCAATAAATGGATAAGAGTGCCTCATTTGCTTTCCATAAATCATCCCAGAATCAAGTGGTTTTTATATTGCTCATTATATTTCAGAAGCTATTTCAACTTTAACGATAAGATACCCTTGCAGGAGCCTTTAGAGTGCTTACTAGCCAATTAGGAATAGACCACCAGTCACCTTTGGAAACTCTGTACTTAATTGCCGCAACGTCCACAAAAACGATAGTCATCTTTCTCAAAGAAGAATCCCCATAGCCAACAAAAGAGAATGCTTTTTACAGTGAAGGTCACTAAAAGTCAAACCCTAGAGAACTCTACCTTGTTCCACCAACTTACCAAACAGAACCGTCTTCAGTACCAGTGCAATTTAAACAAAGCCCACCCCTCAAGTTTACTCAAGGATTCAGACATTCATGCAACAAAGTAGGCAAGAATACTCGGCTTACTTGAGGGACAGGAAAAACTATGACATGTCTCTTAATTTGAAACGTAGATTTTCTAACCCAAGGTTCATTCTTTTAGATCATCAACGACAAATCTCTCGATGAGACCAACAATGACGAGAATCTAAAAAAATGGACACAACTTCATGAACAAGAACCACAAACCTGAAGTGGGTCCTCCTGAGGGAAGACTTGAGACAGCTGAAAAAGACATGATAATATCGGAGAGATATTTATGTGCCAATCAACCTAAGGGCCGACCTGCAAAAGCGGTGGTGGATGTGTTAAACAAGAAAACCACAAGTATCTAATTGAATGATTTACTGCCTACGAAGAACATATGGGATAAAGCTGAACACAATTATAACCAGGATAACTCCTTAAAAGATATTTATTACCAACCAAGAACAACAGCAAATGGTATCTATGAGGTAGAGTCGGTCTGATAGATCAATAAATGGCTGACACTTAGCGTAGTCACGCTGTCAGCGAGACAGCCGGACCTTGCTTTGTGTATCTTAAATGACGTGCGAAAAGGCAGCCGCCATTAGAACTTTAACAGCACATCCGATCAGAAGAGCATGAAATACTCACGATGTCAAAAAGAAAAATTGAAACCCAAGAAAGGAACACACCCATTCATCAAAAACAAAGTGGATCGTCTCGTGATTCAGCAAATTAAAAGACTACCCAATTCAAATAAACAAAGCCTGAAAACAACACATTCATAAGGAGTTCGATCCCCATGTTCCGGATCCAAGAAAAAAGAACAAGAATCACAACCCCCCACATGACTACAACACATTCACCTAATCCCAAACACCCACAAACCCCAAAAATGAACCCCAGAAAGCCATCAGTCTCAAAATTGAAGCAAAACACCCCAAAACCTCGATCCACACCACACCCAGTTGGTTAGAACATAAAATTATGAAGCAGAAACACAGAAAAACAAAAACAAGCGAGAAATGATTAAAAAAAATAATAATAATAAAAAAAAAAACCCGATCACAAACCTTAAGGTGAGAACCAAACAGCTGATTTGGTGAATTGAAGAGCAGCAAAGAGGAAAAGTCAGAAGGTAGGGTTTGGGAGGGAAGAAGAAGAAAAAGAGGAAGGATCAAAGGGATCGAAGAGAGGAATGGAAGGGTGCAGAAGAAACGATAAGATGGTGTTTGGTCCAAGCCGACAAGGAAATTTCTTTGTTTGTGTGCAAAAATTATAATTTTTTTTTTTTTTTTTTAGGGTTTTGAAGAGAGAGAAAGAGAGAGCAATGGGTGCTTGACTGTGTGCCCGCGTCAAAGTGGACGGAAGACCGGAGTCGGGAATACAACAACTTGCTTTATTTATTTATTTTAATATTTTTTAAAAAATGATGATTGTTAATTAAATAATTAATTAAAAAAGAAGAGGAACAGATGAGAAGGGGGCGCCCCGAAAGGGATACATCAATTCCTTAGTCTTCCTATGCTCTCAACACCTTCTTCCCTAAACTCCTCTCTCCCAAATTCTCTCAGTTTTCTTTTTTCTTTTTTTATTTTGCTATTAATTATTTATGCTTTCTCTCTCTTCTTTTTTCTTACTTCTTTCGCCATCCCTTCTTTCCTTATTTACGCTTTTGCCTTCCTCTTTCAACTCTCCTCTATTTATCCTACTCTCCGTTCTTATCCCTTCCAATCTGCTCAATTTTCTATTTATTTTTATTACAAATTAATTTTAAATAATTTTCCTTTTTTAATATAACATTTATAAAATAAAATAAAAACCTTTAAATTGTCCAAGTAAAGTGATTTTTGTGACTATCTAAAAACCTATCTCGCAATTGCCCAACCCAACAATGCACGTTCCCAAACTGCAATCATGTTTCATCCTGCCAATACAACTCAATAACATTGATCAAAACTAAAGAGATTTAGGAAGAGGAGCTTTTTGGAGGGTCAACCATAAATCTCTTGAACCTCAAGTTGTGAATTTTTGATCCTCGCTCATTAATGCTAGTAGCATGTTCATGAAGTCCACAAGTGTCTACGTGTTTAAAACGTGTGGGGCTAAAGTTTTTTTTTATCTATAGTGTCTCAATGTTGTAGAATTTTCTTTATTTAAAGAGACAATTTTGCTTACTAAATTCATCATTTTCTTTAAGACGAACTTGTTTATGATGTATGTTTCAATTTATAGACACATTAAAGATCTACATATGATACTTTAGATTATGGGACACCTTGAGATATTTTGTTTTTAACTTTGGGTGAAACTTTTGTAAGAATCGAACCACGGCAAATGTTGGCTAGATCGTTATGACGAAACGCTAGAGTTCACGTTCTAATTCAAAGATCAGCAGAGTTCAATTGTAAAACTGTAAAGCATCGAGCTTTAGTACAATTTCTATTAATTAAAGAAAATGAGCACGGTGTATAGAAAATTAAAATGAAAAAAAAAATGGTACGTGTTAGTAAAGTTGATTGGATGATAAATAAAATAAAGCATAATTGAATGGTGTTGTTAAGGTATTATTGGTTGAGAGGAGGAGGTAGAAGGAAAGGGGCATTGGATGCATTGAATCTCTTGCGTGGCTGCCAATGCCATGGTCATGTGGAAAGTCAGAGGGGCGCATCTTATAAATGTGGGATAAAATTGACGTTTTTTTTCTATTTATAATTTTTTCCCCAAGATTTTGACATTGATGTGAAAGTAATTGAACTGGACCATTGTTTTACGGTGGGAAATTGGCCCACCACTCCATTTCCAATTTTACTTTTTAAGTTTTACCAATTCAAATATTTATTTTTCTCTCTTCTTTTCTTACTTTTATAAGAGTAAAAGAAAAAAACTTAAATTTCGTTAAAATCAAAATCTGAATTCAGCCCAGGCCCATTCTATTTTAGGAAGAAAAGAAAGAAAAATAAAAGCCCTAGCTCCGTCCTCTTTGCCACTGCTGATACTATGGTGCACGTTTCTTTGTACAGAAATTGTGAGTATTCCCTTCTCTTTCACTGTACTATTATCCATGTTAGCAAAGGTTAATGTCGATTCCTCTTCAAGCCATATCTTATTTATCCGTACTGATGATAATGAGAATGTTACAGAAACGTCCTGGTGTTAAAATTGAGTTGGGATTAATAATCTCATCTTTTTTTTTTTTTTTTGTGGGCAATATTGATATTGATGAATTTTCCCTATATTTATACATAAAAATTTGTTCTACATCAATAATTATATATAGAATAAGTAATTTATAAGTTAAGGGATTGCCATGTTAGGGATGGATGATGGAGTAAATTAATATGCAATCATTCATATCATGTTTGTGTTTGATATGAATGATGAGTTGGCAGAGATCTGTTGTTTGGGATTCTGGGTTGGAAGGAAGAGGAAGAGGAAGACACGGAAGGCAACCCCACATGGATAGTGATGAGAATATTTGGAAATGAAACAAATCCATATTGTGTGGTCAAACAATCATGTGCTTCACATTCAAATACAGGGAAGCAAATGGAAGTTCACATCTCCCCTTAGAGGGTATTCCCAAAAACAAAAGCAAAAGCAAAAACAAAGCAAACCAAAGCAAACGGTACATTAATCCTCCACCTTTCTAACTACTACTTAAACACATCCCTAATTTTTCTGACTCCAAACCAAAACCAAAACCACAACACTTCAATTTCACAACATATCTCATGTGTGGCAGGCACACACACATCCATCTGCCTTTGCAAACAGCGCCCCCTCTGCTGTGGATCACAACCATTTTTTTTTATCCTTCCATGGTTAAGGAACTCCCAGCTGCAACCGAATTCAATAACAGGAAGCATGTTATTCATGTCATCATACTAATGAAATTCATACCAAAGTCAACAACTATCAGCTTTGCAAACCAAATGGGTATGTATACAAATACACTTTATTACCTGGGGTGTGGTCATCAGGATGATCCTTGTGCTGGCTTTCCATGCACTTGAGAAGGTATTTGAAGGTCTCGATCTCGCATGGGAATGTGAGGCCGCCGCTATGATCAAATCCAAACTCCTCCTCTGCCTTTTCCAGCAACACCTTGAACACCGAATGGCTAAGATAGCTAGTGGGAATGATGAACCTCCGAAGCTCCGGCCCAACATAAACAGCCAAGTACCCTTTTGGTACGTCGGGTGGATGCTCAGGGCTCTGGCAGCTCTCCTCATCCGAATCACAACACAAAACATTCGTCAGCCTTTTGTTGATTGCTGGTGAAAGGATCCCATTATTTTGATTTATATTTTGGCTTGGATTTTCATGGGCTGCTGCTTTGGATATCGGGTTAATTGCGACGCCTTGCCAGTGTTGGAGAGTCTCTTTCAGCCTCACAATCTGGCGGATTCCAGTCAACTTGATCCCACCGTTTTCATCCATTTCTAGACGTTCACCACAATTGAACAGAACCCCAGGACAGAACTCGCTGTGTCAAATTCCAGAAACACTATTCTCATCAGAACACCACTACCTAGAAGTTGAAATCGCCGGTAATAGAATAGTTGTGAATGACACTAACACAAACTAAAATAGTAAAAAGCTCAAAGTAGAAAATCAAGTAGAGGAAAGAAAAGGAAAGGCTGTACTATAGCAAGAAGAAAGAAAGAGAAACACAAGCATGCTCCATACAACCAACAAATAAAGAAACAATAATAATCAGAGCAGGATCCATTTGATTCATCAAATCATGTACAAGAGACTAAAATTCCCTCTCACCATTCGTTCCTCACATTGAGATTCAAAACCAGAATCAAAGTCTGTAAGAAGGTTGCAATGCAATGCAACGCAAGGGAACAACAATGATGATATTACCTGATTGACAATAAAGGAGGAAAAAAAAGGGTCAAGAGAACAGGAAACGGTGAGGTTAAAATTCGAATTTGAGGAAAACGTGTTTTACAATGTCTGAAATGGAATGGATGAAGAATTATAATAAAGACAAGGAATTGTACAAAAATGGAGGAGAGGTGGAAGAGTGAGGCGAATCCAAGCGCAGAAAATGCAGAAAGAAAGAAAGAAAGAAAGAAGGAAGAAGATACCGGAGAAGAAGAGGAGCATTTAGGTGGAAAGGCGAGGAAGAAAAGGCATGGGAGAAGGAGGAGGGTTGAGGGGGAAGGGGAGGGAAGAGAGGGGAAGGAGTATTTATTTATGCGGTTCGGGGGAACAGAGGAATGGGCGTTGGAAAAGGAAGGTGCCTCCGGAAACGATGGCCGATTCTTTTGGACTGCCTTCAATTTCTTATTTTCTTTGGATTTCATTTTGTGAAATGAAACAACTTTTTCATCTAAACTCACCAATAATGTTACTTTCTAACTTTTTTGTTTGGAAATATATATATATATATATATAGTTTTTTTTTACAATTCAACCAAATATATTTTATCCCAAAACCTGCTACGGCGGAGGCACTGCTTCACTTCTGCTCCTTTGCAACACCAGACTGTTCATTTCCGCCTCCTCTACGGCCGACGCCATGGATGCAATCAACGACCAACTTCCGCTTTCGACCAATTCGGACGACGAAAATTTGGTCAATGGAGATGACCCAATGCCCGACCTTCCCCAGAACCCCACTTCCCCCGCCTCCGATTCTTCTTCCTCCGACTCTGATTCCGAAGTCGACGAATCCGACCAGAAGCTCCAACTCCAGACCCTTCAATCTGAGCTCTCCTCCAACCCTTCCAACTACGATGCCCATGTCCAAGTAATTTTTCTCTACTCTCTTTAATGTTTCTTCCCATCATTTCTCCCCTTCACTTCTGCATACACTAAGTTCATGCGTTACTTGTTTTTGATGCTCGCTCATCGCCACTTCTTCAAGTATATAAAACTTTTGAGGAAAGTTGGCGACATCGACAACCTGAGGAAAGCAAGGGAAGCAATGAGTGAGATGTTCCCTTTAACCCCTTCAATGTGGCAGGAATGGGCAAAAGACGAAGCGTCTATCAGTACTGGGTAATCTTGTCTATTTTACCTTTTTAGATGTCCCGTTATTTCTTTTCCAGTGGTGCAGAAGTTTCTGAAGTTGTTACTCCGTTGCTCCTTAAATTCATTAGAGAGCTGTCAATTTCAAACTTCTAACAAGCTCTTGAATCTTCAACCCTATTTCATTGTGAGAGGGTTTTGGATTTCTGTTAACCCTTTTCTTGCTAGTAGTCGGTTATGTATTAATTTTACTCTCGTTTTTCTCGTTGCCTTTGCAGACCAGAGGATGTTGCTGCAATTGAGAGGCTATATGAGCGAGGGGTGTTTGATTATCTGGTTTGTATCGGCTGCCATTTGGAGATTAGCTTTTGGTATTACGAGAGATGTTACATGTTAGACTAACAAATGCTAGCATATTAGCAGTTTTATAGCTACTGCAAGCCAATTGTTTCACCACGTCCTTTTCTTCCTACACGTATCTGGAACCCCATATTATAATCAATATATTTTATACATTGTCGGATTTAACAAATTATAGCTTGGACTCTTAAGCTGAAAATTGTACTTTTACTTTTTGGACTATTAATTAGTTGCCTTGAAAATAAAGATGGTTGGCTATGTAACTCAGCTTTCTGCATGACTTTCTACTTTCAATGTATAAACGAATAATTTTCAAGTTCGAGGACAATAGTTTGCTTTGTAATTTTCTTTTATTCAGGATGACAATATTTTGAAATTGTATGGTGTCATGATGTTTTCAGATTTTGTTTTGTAGCACATGATTACGTGAGATGGTTAACTTTCATTATGTTATGCAGTCAGTTTCTCTTTGGTGTGACTACCTAAATTTTGTTCAAGAATATGATCCAATGGTGCGAGATCGTGCAACTTCTAGAATTAAAAAGGTTAGAGATTTATTTGAACGTGCTCTCACAGCTGCTGGTTTGCATTTTACTGAGGCTGAAACATTATGGGAAGCATATAGAGAATTTGAGAAATCCATATATCAAAGCATTGACGAAACCGATTCTCAGGTCCGAACCTCTTTCCTTTTTTTATTTTTTATGTTTTTGGTCATCTTCTATGAGGTGTCTCATTTACGATGTAACTTAATTATATGGCTCAGAGCTATATAAATTTATTGTTTTTTAGGATTGAAGTCCCTTTGTGTAGCACTTGGAACTTCCTTTTTGTTTTTTTTTTTTTTTTTTTTAATAATATTTTTGTATGTCCTTGTATTCTCTTTCATTTTTTCTCAATAAAAGTTCGATTTCTTACACACACACACACACAAAAAAAAAAAAAGTGTCATTTGCTACGTTTTTGTATGTGCACTCCAATTGGAAACGGCAAAAGCAACCAAAAGTCATCGCAAAGGAGCACATCTTTTTGTTGATCCTTGTTCCTTGAATACATTAAGGGTAGTATCTCATGTACGGCAAGTTTCTGATTTTTTCATAAATATTTTTCTCTCTGTTGTGGATGATCAATGAAATTAATTTTAACTTGCATAGAAATTGTACTGATGGTCAGAGTTGCATATTTTTCTGTAGGCGAAAGAAAAACAAGTCCAGCTAATCCGAAGCATTTTCCATCGTCAGTTGTCACTTCCTCTATCTAACATGAATTCAACGCTTGAGGCCTATAAGGCATGGGAGATGGAAGTGAAACAAGGCTGCATTCTTGATGGGAAATCTAATGACTCGGATGGGGTTCCTTCTCAAGTTGCCTCAACCTATCAAAGAGCTTTGGATATGTATAATGCCCGTGTTCAATTCGAAGAACAAATATCAAAGCAGGAGTTAACTGATACTGAAAGACTTCACCAGTACATTGTATGTTGCTTTTACATTTTATTATGCGAAACAGACTTTTTTGGAGTTTGATTCATGATAAAAGCTTCGCCAGGCCCGTTTTGAATATAATTCTTTAATTTCTTCAGATTTACCTGAAATTTGAACAATCTGCTGGAGATCCCGCAAGGGTACAAGTTCTGTTTGAGCGTGCAGTTGCTGATTTTCCAGTGGTGGTTGATCTGTGGCTTGATTATACCCGTTACATGGACAAAACTTTGAAGGTTTCTCCTTTCCAGTTTCCTATGAACTATGGATATATCTTAACGTATAATTTTACATGAGGTTTGGGTTTTCAGGTCAGCAATATTGTGAGGAATGTTTACTCTAGGGCGACTAGGAATTGCCCATGGATAGGTGATCTTTGGGTCCAGTATTTGCTTGCTTTGGAACGTGCTCATGCTTCTGAGGGTGAAATTGCTTCCGTAAGTTTTGACAACCACACCCTTTCTCTGGAGCAGTTCTGTTAAATATTGTTTGGTCTGATTTCATTTAACAAGATTATTATTTCACATTTGGCTCAAGAAAATCTCTCGCCAAAATTTATTTACAGTGAGCAGGGAAACACAAATAAATTACTAAAATTTGCAAGACTACTTCATTTGCCTCTATAATCCAATCTCTTGAATCTTCTTTTTTGATCCAATGACATTGAGTGAAATATCTAGAGACTAGAATAAGACAAAAGTTTCTTTTAACCAACTCAGCACATGAAACTTCATTATGATCATTACACTCATCCAAACAATTTACCACTGCATCACAAATCATTTCCCAAAAAACCAACCAGCCTCTTTTATTGTTCCCAACTGGAACCATAACTACTGATCTATCGCTAGAAGGTTTTATAACAAAACATTTGAGAATCCAGCTGAAACGATCCATCTTCTTACATAATCAAAAAATTTCAAACTCATCCTTAGCCGAAAGAAATGTGATGTTAATGGACACTGCATAAGGTCAACTAAAGCTTCCTCAAATCAAAGAAGTTTCTTATGATGAGCAACACTGGAGCAGAGACTTTTTTCTTAATCGTGAAAAAATCCTAGCCTAAAAGATTTATGAAAAATGCATTATTTCTCCCTACAACTGATAGACCTCATATTATGAATGATCCTTAAGCACAACTTGAATTTTGACCGATAAGAAGGCTAAAAGGGATGAACACTAAAGATGGATGAGGGCTAAGAACGGATGAAGGCTAAGGATGGTGAAGAGATGAACGAAGAAAAAGGAGGGAGCATACATTAAATTCCACTCTTCCTGATGACTTGAATGAATAAATGAAAGTATACATAAGTGAGAATTTCATACATCCCTCATTGCCCTTTTGCTTACAGTTTCATCCTGAATACATTCTATTTGGTTTGGTGTTCCCCTAGAAGTTTAGTCGATGGGCTTTATGAGCTTCTCTTAGGCTGGTCTTTATAGAGAAAACAAAGATTTTGTGGTCAAATGCTTGTGAGCACGTTTGTGGGCGTTATGGAAAAAAAGAAACAGCAGATTATTTTCAGATAAATCTTCCTCAAGCAATTTTTTTCGTTTCTATTTTTTTTTTTTTTTTTTTTTTTT